GGAATCTAAAGCAATACAAACTAACCAAACTTTCTCCTTCTACAAAATACTTGTTCAGAGTAGCTGCCAAAAATGACATCGGAATGAGGTAAGATGTGTATGTACTTCTCATTTTAATTTAACAGTCCAAGCTCATGTTAACTAACCTTTAAATTTAACTTTTCAGTGGGTTTAGTGAGACATAAAGCAATACAAACTAACCAAACTTTCTCCTTCTACAAAATACTTGTTCAGAGTAGCTGCCAAAAATGACATCGGAATGAGGTAAGATGTGTATGTACTTCTCATTTTAATTTAACAGTCCAAGCTCATGTTAACTAACCTTTAAATTTAACTTTTCAGTGGGTTTAGTGAGACAATCGTCCCTTCACCGCCACTGCCCCCTCAGTTAACTGAAGCAGGCGTAACATGGTTATCATTAAATTGGAGCCCATCTAATGGCATGTCTTCAGATGACTCTCTGACATACATTTTAGATATGGAAGAAGAAGATTCTGTAAGTTGGGTTTTCTTAATGTTTAGGCTGTAATTTAAAGTGTAAATGTAACTCAAGATTGTCCCAAGTGTAATACAAAACTTTGCACTACAGTTAAAAATTGATAAACATTGATAATTATGAAAGACCCTTATTAGTAGAAATGTTGAAGTTTGTAAAGGTCTGTATTATCTAATGATGAAAAAAATTAAAGCCTAATTTCTGAAGTTGTCATTATCTTCTGTTTATGAAGTAATTCGCCTTATTAGAGACACTGTATAAAGTACAGAGCCATAGACGTTTGAAGTGTCCCATGGGATTTCCAATGGTGTAATGCTTGAGAAACTGTGGAGACCAATTGTTTCTCTTGTTTTACTAGGAGACTTGTTAGTGACTGTATGGCTGTTCTCAATTTATCTGTTTACAGGGTTATGGTTTTCAGCCTCAATATAATGGAGATGAACTCTCATGCACTTTAAAAAATCTAAGGAGGAGTACTTCTTACAAGTTTAGGGTATGTACTAAATTATGTAGTTGACTTCCTTTTTTTTTTCCCCTGGCCAATATTGTACTTCTGGAGTTATTTGCTAGTAATACTTGTGTATGGTTAGGAAACCCCATACAATAGCAGGTTAAGCGGGTAATGGATTGCATTTCTATTTTATTATAGTATCATAGAAATGTAAGAATGGCCATACGCTTTTATCTTTGTATGCAAATTAGCCTGATATTGTCCATGGTAAACAATCATTGTTCTATTCATTCTTAAAACAGCTCTCTGCCTGCAGTAATGAAGGAAAAAGCAACCCTAGTGAGGTAGTAGAATACAGCACTTTTCCTGATAAACCTGGACCACCAAGTAAACCAAGTGTAAAGGGAAAGATCCATTCCTACAATGTGAAAGTAACATGGGGTAAGTGAACTTGTGTTAATTTTGATTTCCCTTGCTCCTCAAAAGAGAAATGAGCTTTTAGTTATCAGTAAATAAATGTTAAAATAACAGAGTAGTGGTTCTCAGACTTAGCAACCCAAGGATATACGTTTTGATTTAAAATTTTTCTGGGACCCCTGCCCCTTCTCTGAGGCCCCACCTCCTGCTTTCTCCATTTCCTCTCACTCGATCACTCTTCTCTTCCACCCTCACTCACTTTCACCAGATTGGGACAGGAGCTTAGTGTGTAGGAGAGGGGTGAGGATATGGACTATAGGGTGGGGGCAAGAGATAAGAGATTTGAGATACAGGAGGGAGCACCAGATTGGGGAAAGGCATTGGGGTACGGAGCAGAGCCAATTTGTGGCAGGGTGGTTAGGGGACGGGGTCTCAGCAGTGATTACTGTGGCTCCCAGGAAGCAGCCCACAGATGCTGTGCCCACAGATCCCATTGGTCATAGTTCCTGGCCAATGGGTGCTTGGGAGCAGCACATGGAGCTTCCTTGGCCACTCATACGCCTGGAAGCCACAGGGACAAGCCAGTCGCTTACAGGAGCTGTGTGGAACCAGGGCAGGTAGGGAGCCTTCCTTAGCCATGGGAGGAGAAAGAGATTGAGTGAGCGAGGGGGGGAGGGGAGTTGATCAGTGGGGCTCATAGACCCCCTGGAGTTCCTGCACAGACTGCAATTTGAGAAACACTGACATAGGAAATAGCTGTAAAAACAGAATGTAGTCTGTCTCCATGCAGCTCTTTCCTTCAGAGAAACTTTCAGCCCAAATGTCATCTCCTTTAAAATGTAAATCTTTCTCCCAATCCCATATCTTTATAAGATACATTGATGACTAGCTAGTCCTTAGAATATATTTATCAACTGAGATTATTTGATTATCTTACTCTTAACTTTGATTGTAGCCTCCCAAAAAAGTTGTAGCTTACACACTAAAGCTTAGTCTTCATGTAATCTATAAGAAGTAAACATATTTTCATTCAAAAAGGAGTAATAGAAATTTAGCAGCTGTCTAATATCTCTATATACTCTTATTGTGGAGCCCAACCTGCTTGACTGCTGTCTTAACCTGTGTATAGTATTTCATACAAACATTCTGATAGGGCTCTTATATTTTATGCTCTTTTTAAGCAAACAGCTTTCATCTTTTATTGCAGTATTATCTCAATTCCAGATGACTTCCCAGCTGACTCTATTCTACAATGAAAAATATTGTTTTGAGTCGTTGATTATAAGATGGTTCATAAACATTTCTTTTTCTAAATTTTCAAAATTGTAACTAAAATGTGACCTTCTTTCAGATCCACCAAAAGATAATGGAGGATCAGACATTTCTAAGTATTTTCTAGAAATGTCAGAAACTTTAATTGGTAAGCACTCATTGTAAAAGGCCTAATTCAAATTATTATTTACTTCTGTTTACATCTAAGTATGTATTATCATTACTGTAGCAATTAGAAAGGGGTGGGCAATAATTTTTGGTGGGAGGGGGCGCACCAAGATTTTGGAAAGTGGTTAAGGGCCACACTTCTCTGTGGAGAAGGTGCGGGGTCTAGGATAGAGGTTGGATACAGATGGGCACACGGGCGCAGGACATGGTGTGAGGTCTGAGAGGGAGTTTGGGTTGCGGAAGAGATTTGATCTGGATCAGGGGATTGGGGTGTAAGGTCAGGGAGGGGGTAGGGGTGCAGAAGAGGATCCCTCCAGAGCAGAATGCCCCACAGACTGCAGTTTAAACAGTAGCAGCTTTCTGCTGAGGGTCGCAGCAGGGGGGGCAGCAGGGTGGCCGCTGGCTGGATCCAGTAGCTTAGGAGGCCGGATCTGGCCCATGAGGTATCTTATCCATCCCTGAATTAGAATGTTCATTTTGTTGTAGATAGGAATAGTAGTTAATTACAGTAAATGCTATTTGTATGTATAATGGAACCAGTCTAAGACACAGTTATTTCAGTCTGTGATTTGTGTGCATTAAATAAACATGTATAGGGAAAAGTTTAATGAAAAAACTTTCACCATGTATTGTAAATTGATATTCTTTTCTTTTCCCTCAGGAAGTAAATGGGAAGTAATATATAGTGGTTCTATGAGGGAACATGTGTGTGATCATCTCAAGCCTGGTACTTTATACAGACTCAGAGTTTACTGCATCAGTAAGGGAGGTGAAAGCCCGGTAAGCCAAGAAGTCACTTGAAAAGAATAAACACATTTGTCCTGAAAGCAGTTTTATTTCTTCTTTAGTATAAGAATGTTGTGCAGTGTTTGACACCTGTAACTTTAATATAATATATGTATACTTTTGCTAGGCTTCTGATGTTCTGACTGTACAAACATCAGCTGTTCCTCCTGGACCTTGCCGTGCTCCATGCCTGGTTGGCAAAGCTAAGCCCAGAGAAATAACTCTACAATGGGGTAAGCACCAGTGTTTCTGTAAATAGACATTTTCCAGGTTTTAAATATTATAAAAATGGAAAGCTAAATTCAGAGATTCTCACAGAATTTAAATTCAAGTATCAGGAGACTCATTCCAAAAACTTGAAAGTGTATGTAGTTAAACAGTCAAAATGAAAAAAATGTACAAATTGTAATGTGCAGCTCTTAAGTTATACTTGGTTTATAGCTTGTGGGGCAGGTGGTATATTACTTACAGAACTTTAAGGAGCACCAGCTCAAAAGCTAGGGAGAATAGTACATTGATTAGTCTTTGCTCTTTACCTCATTATAACTAACAATTGAAAGTAAAAATAAAAGTTGCTTTTTTATTTTAGCCCTGCAAAGGGGAGAAGTAAGAGATAATATGCATAACACTAGAAGACTTGCCATAAATGCCTGATCAGAAAAATTGGTGTGAATCCCTTACTGACCGATGGTTATTTTTTTTAATGATTAGAGACTTGTGAATTGTTGCAGCTCAAATAGATGCTGAAACCAAACATCTGCACATTTATTTTTAGAATTCATCTAACTTGTATGGTTTCATACAGACCACCTTGAAACTGTTTAAAATAGGAGCTATTTTCTGAAAATAAGAACTTGGGTTTATTAATAATGCAACTTTGTGTCATAGATCCCCCTTCCACAGATGGAGGCTCAGAAGTAACAGAGTATATTGTAGAGATGGCAAACTCTGAACAAGAGGAACACAGGCTAGTGTATCAGGGTTTGACAACAGAATGCACAATGAACAGTCTACTTCCTGGGAGAGTGTACTGCTTCTGGATAAGAGCAGGAAATAAAGCTGGGGTAATCAATCTGTTATATATAATCAGCTTTTGTTTTGCAAATAACTATATAAGTACCACAACTAGTAAAATAGCTATATATTAGGATTCTGGTTGCATTGCTTGCAGCATCTCTGTCCCATTGAAGGATTGGTTTGCAAAAGCTCTTCTACTAAAGAGAAGACAGTGAAATTTATGTCCCGATCATCAGAGGCTCAAAGAAGAGATAAGAGCCCAACTTTCCTTAATGACTTTGAAAAGTTCGCTTAATTTAGCATTCAGCAGTTTTGTCCTATATATCTCATTTCTGTTGTCTCACCTAGCTTTTGCAGCTCACTTTAAATTTACAGTATGTGATGGAGTAGTGTAGTGGTAGTGCTGGGCAGAGAGCATACCACCAATCAGGTTGGGTTGGAACAAGAACTGGCACAAAAGAATCCCTTTGCAGCAATGCCACTTGCTTTTGGAAGCAAGATGTGACTGCAAGGAAGGGAAGATTCTGGGGGAGGGGCCATGTATATACATGACATTGTGAGAGGCTTTGCCAGTGTACAGAACCATATGACTTGGAATTGGTTGGAGGGTCTGCACAAAACCAACTTGTGAGTAGAAGCCCAGAAAACTCCAGTAAGAGTTGTGAAGTTACTACCAAGATTTGGCATCATAGTACCTATCAAGATATTTTTATTATTATTCTTTTCTTCAATTTATCACTGAGCAAATGTGCATTTTTCTGTCATTGCAACACTCTTGCAATTGTGTATTTCTTTACAGTTTGGCTCTCTCTCTGAAAAAGCAGAGATTTCTACAGCTGCAGGACCTCCTGATCAGTGTTGTGCACCCTTGTTAACCTGTAAGGCTGCCACCTGTGTAGTGGTCACCTGGGAGGTAGGTTTTTAAAAACTTTCATACTAAAGCTTTAGAATGTCATGCCTCATGTAACACTTAAGTAAACTCAAAAAGGGAAGATGGAAAATTTCAAATGCTTTCCCCATTTTTTCAGTAGTTAGGCAGAAGTCAGCTTGAAATCATTTTGATGTGAATGTTCTTAGCTACACATATTTTTCCTTAAGTAGTGTGGACACCACTGTTATAAATAGTTAAGAACATAAGAACGGCCATAGCGGGTCAGACCAACCTGTCTGCTGATAGTGGCCAATACCAGATGACCCAGAAGGAGGGAACACAACAGGCAATCCTCACGTGATCCCGCCCCTGTCATTCATTCCAGACAGACGAAGGCTAAGGGACACCATTCCTATCTATCCTGGCTAATAGTTTTAGAAAATTATGGGATTAGGTAGAAATTGCAGTCTGTGAAGAATGTTCCTGTTTCAATCTAATGGATGGATGGAAATTTTCTGAAAAGCTGTATTTGTAGCTATCTTGTTGACTACCTGGAACACATGGGTGGTGTTTATGTAATGTTTTTCAAACTGAAAAACCTTCATTTTGAGTGCTAGTACTAACATAGTTTAGACCAGTGGTCTCCAACCTTTTTACACCCAAGATCACTTTTTAAATCTCAGAACAGGAGAAGATCTACCACCCCGCCCCTTCCTTGAAGTCCTGCCCTCTCTATTCTCCTCCTGTCCATCACTTGCTATCCCCAGCCCTTACTTACACACTCTGATAAACAGTTTATTTTAAAATTGTGATGTATAAAATTAAAATCACGTGTTTATAGTTATGAAATAAATGGTCTGTTTTTTATTCATGCTATTTAAATCTAAAATGAAGCATTTATAATTATACTGTGGGGACAGAGTACTGTGGCTGGGGGCAGGGGAGAGGGAACAGGGTGCTGGGAGGGCAGAGGACAGGGTTCTGCAGCAGGGGACGGGAATGGGGACAGAATTCTGTAGCTGGGGATGGGGGGACACAGGGTGCCAGTGAGGTCTGGGGACAGGGGACACAGGGTGCCAGTGGCAGCAGAGAGTCCCCTGCATCTGCCTCCTCCCAGGATTCTCTTCTCCCCCCTCCACCCCAGAGCGAAGCCAGCACATGCCTGCCCCAGGGCCAAATCCCCCTTCCATGGCGTGGTGCGGCCCATCCCCCCCCTTCTCTTTTCCTCCCGCAGCGTGACCAACCCCTGCGGGCACCTGCCCCGGGGTCAACCCCCCTCCCGCGGCATGGCCAGCCCCCTTCCTGCAGCATGGCCAACTCCCGTGGGCGCATGCCCCGGGGTCAAACCCGCCTCCCACGGCACAGCACACCCTGGCCCAGCCAACCCCTCCTGCAGCACAATCAACCCCCGCGGGTGCCTACCCCGGGGCCATACCACCCTCGCGGTGTTCAGCCGGGCCTGGTCTGGCCCAGCCAACTCCCTCCCCTCCTGCAGCACGGCCGAACCCCGGCGCTGACCCCCGCTCCCATGGCGCAGGGAAATCCCTGTGCTCAACTCAGTCCTCCGGCGCCGGCAGCACAGGGAAGCCTCCGCACTCCTCCTTCAGGGTTGACGCCCCCCTTCCCCAGCACGCAACAGAGCTGTGGGAGGGGAGCAGCCCGCGCACTTCCGGAATTCCTGGAAGTGATGTGGGCTTCAGACAGGACTTCCGTCCACCCCGCGCACTCCTCCTTCAGGGTTGACGCCCCCCTTCCCCAGCACGCAACAGAGCTGTGGGAGGGGAGCAGCCCGCGCACTTCCGGAATTCCTGGAAGTGATGTGGGCTTCAGACAGGACTTCCATCCACCCCGCGGGAAGCCAGTACTACACTAGAGGTAGGTAGTGGAGCTTCTCGGGGGTGGGGAAAAAATGGGGGTTGTGGTTGCCCGAATGCCTTGCGATCAACTGGTTGAGGCCTCACGATCGACCAGTCAACTGCGATCAACCGGTTGGTGACCACGGGTTTAGACAGTAGAGCCTTATGTGAAAAAGCACCTCTGTCAAATGTGGTATATAGTAGATACTGTGCAAATTTTTAAATGCAGTTTTGTCAAAAAGGCATGTAAGTGACGAGTCAAGTAGTCACCTGCTTGATTACTTGCCCTCCTTCCCTCTCTTCCCCTCTCTTCCCCCCCTTCCCCCCCCACCCCCCACACCACTGCTTCTGTATCAATCCCGGCTGTCCTTCACCCCGGCCACAGCATGCCCCGTGCTTTCCCCTCACCAGCTGCCATGGGGGCAGGGGAGGGTCCAGGCCGAAAGACCACAATTTCAGATTCCGGCAGCCATGTTTTAAAGTGAAGTGCTTTAAAGTGACAAGGCCCACAATGGGGGGAGGCCTCTCCTGTGGCTCCCACCACAGGCCTCGCTGCTGCCCCCACCCCTCCCCAGTGCCACCAGAGCAGCACAATTTAAAACTCTGGCTGCCGCCCACCACCATGTGGCAGCTGCCAGAGGTGTACAGCTGGCTATGGCTCTGGCTCTGCCTCAGTAGCAACAGCTTGCCTTCACTGCTGTTGCTGCTGCTCGGGAGCCATAAGTTGCCAGTCACTCCTGGGTTAGTAGTGGAGAGGAAGGGAGGAGGCAGGGCAGCTGAGGGGAAAGGGGCAGTGGGACAGTGTGACATGACTGTCACTGTCATTTCCCAAGAAAAAGTGTGTGTGTGTGTGTGTGTGTGTGTGTGTGTGTGTGTGTGTGTGTGTGTGTAATATAAAAGTGGAAACCAGCCAACTCATTTAACTTTAATAAATCCACACTCTTGTCTACCCATTCCCCATTATAAATATATATTTAAGATTTCAATTTAAAATCAAGAACTATCTGAAATCTAATCTTTCACTGGCTTGAATCTCCCAGAGTCCTGCATGCAATGGTGCTGAAATTTGTGAATATAGGCTGGACTGGGGACAAATGGAAGGATCAATGCGCATCATCTACACAGGGCCTGGTCTCAGCTATGAAGTGAAAGGCCTTACACCTGCAACCACATATTATTGCAGAGTACAGGTATGTGAGGCTTGCTTTTATATGCCACCTTAAAAATCAAAACCAAAAGATAATTAGCATCTGAATAAGTACTTCAGCTAGTAACTTAAGGACAAAATTCTGGTCCAACTTGCACAGATTCATTGGATGAGGAAAAGGGTTTGAGGAGCATCTTCTGTCACTCTGGCCAAAGTATGTACATCTAGTAATAAGTTAGCATATAGATATGTGCCATTCTATACTAGGTATTGTCTCTGACTTACGTTGTCTTTTGCATCTCTTCAAAGTCCCGCCTAGATTATTGTAGTCATCTGTCTTGGGAACACTTTCTAGTTTGTTATCCCCTTTATGCCATATGTCTTTATTGGAAGGTGCTCAAGATCTGCAAGCTACTGCTTACTATATTTTGAAGGGACAACAAAAAGTGTTTCAGAACAGATTTATCTCTGAGTTATCATGCAAGACAGAATAATTAAGGATAAACTTAAAAAACAACAAATAGTCTGGTAGCAATTTAAAGACTAACAAAACATGTACATGGTATCATGAGCTTTCGTGGGCACCACCCACTTTTTCAGAATAATTAAGGACATTCTGCTGCTGTTCTCATTTCTTTCAGCCTCCATGTGAGCTTCACTTAAAGTGGTATTTTGCCTTTAGTTCTGGACTGATACATTTTCATTATATTTAGGAAAATGCCATCCTCTTGCAAATGTATTTAATGAAGCACAAAATCAGAACAGTAGCTTTCTTAAAAACCAAATAGAAAAATGTGGACTCTGAACACTGTAATCTCTTTCAGGCTGTGAATATAGCTGGAGTTGGCTTGTTTGGTGATATTGGTGTGGTAACAACACCAGCATCAGTGCCTGCAGCAGTGTCAGTACTACATCTGCTTGAAGAAGATCAAATGGAAATTCCTTGTCCCTTGTCAACGTGCCTTGCCATTCAGTGGGAGGAACCATGTTGCCATGGGTCAGATGTCATTGGTTATAATATAGAATATGGGGAAAAGCAACTTGTAACTGTTGGTAGAGTTACGAGCCATATTCTGGAGAATCTGCACCCTGATACTTTGTACAGGTGATCATTCTTTATTTTATTCTGACACCAGTCTTGCAGATATTTTGACATACAGTGCTCTGGGCTATCTTTATTTTTTTTCTAAGGGTTGTTGTGTTTTTTGTGTCCTAGTCCACTTAATTAAGTTGAACATGCTGTAAGATAGAATGTACATTTTGTGTAATGGTTTGTCCTCAGAGTGATTAACTTTGGGGGGGAAAAAAAGCCCCTGAAAGTGAGGACTCTGCATCCTGGAGCCCTCAAATACAGCAGTAAAAGGCCACTTCACCTTAAATGATACTTTTGAAATAGGTGTTACTTATGCTAAAAAGAGGGTTGCATCTTCCTTTGGCTAAGTCTTTGGCTGACACTCTTTGCTGCAACACTCTTTGGCTAAGTCTACACTACCACTTTACCATGCTGCAACTTCCTGGCTCAGGAGTGTGAAAACACCCCCCCTCCCCCCCAGGTGTGGCAAGTTAGTGTTCTAAAGTGCCAGTGTGGCCAGTGCTGGACACACACACACCCCCCCCCAGGTGTGGCAAGTTAGAGTTCTAAAGTGCCAGTGTGGCCAGTGCTGGGGGCCATGCTGTTAGTAAGACCAAAGATGACTTTTTGCCTCCCAGGAGCTTAGAGTTCTCAGAACCCATTTCTGCATCTGGTTCAAGGGTAACAGAAATGAATGACAGAGCTGTACCTAGTGTGTTTGTAGTCATGTCAGTCCCAGGATGTGACACACAAAGTGGGTGAGGTCATGTGTTTTATTGGACCAACCTCTGTTGGTGAGACACACATTTTTGAACTACACAGAGCTATTCTTGAGGTCAAGAAAACATACTGAGGTTTTTTCTACACTTCTAAAATTAAAGCACTGCCATGGTAGTACTTTAAAGTGAATGTGTGGCGATAGTAGGAGCATAGGGGAGGGATAGCTCAGTGGTTTGAGCATTGGCCTGCTAAATCCAAGGTTGTGAGTTCAGTCCTTAAGGGGGCCATTTAGGGATCTGGGGCAAATCTGTCAGGGATGTTACTTGGTCCTGCCATGAGGGCAGGAGACCGGACTTGATGACCTCTCTAGGTGCCTTCCAGTTCTGTGAGATAGGTATATCTCCATAGTGGGGAGAGAGCTTTCCCAGTGCTCTATGGAAACTACCTCCTTGGGGGAGCAGCTAACAGCATTGGCGAGGGCTGTAAAAAGCAGTTATGTAGGTAACCATATAACCGCTAGAAATCTCAGCAGGTACATGCTATGAGTTCTGCAGTATAAAGATTATACTGCAGAGCCCACAGCACAGTCTGTTCCCCAGGAGCAGAGCTGGCGGCCAGTGTGCACTGGGAGCTGACTTCAGGCTGCTGGTCCCACTCCCGGGGATCCAGCTGCTGTGCTGCTGGCTCTTTATTGCAAGCTTTATACTACATAGCCTGCAGCACAGGGCGGCAGCTGGTTCCTCGGTATCAGATTCAGCCTCTACATTGCTATATTAGAGGCAACAGCCGACTCCTTGGGAGCTGGTATGCACCGGGAGCCAGCTTGTAAACCAGCTCCCAGAGCATACTGACTGCTGTGCTGCATGGCAGGCTCTGATACAGAGCCTAAAGTGCAGAGTGGCAGCTAGCTTCCTGTGAGCAGGGCTGGGAGCCTTCTCTGTGTATCATACTTAACTGTTTAAACGGTTATCCCTAATTGCCATTGTGGTGATCATTGATGAGCAGCTTATGAAAATGGCTTGTGCCCAGTTGCTATGGCATCCTCACCCAGGTGGTAGTGCCCATTGTTATTGTATTCCACTGCTCATAAGATGTGCTTGCACCTGGAGAACTGGCAGCCAGTGCGATTGGCCTACATTTCTACTAGCAGCTACCACCCAGTCATTTTGTCTTATTCAGCTGCAGGACTGAGTTGAACATCGACACTGAATGTGGTCTGTTTTTCAGGTTACTGATTTTTTTTTTTCAATCCTTACGGTACAGAATAACTTTTACAAAATATCAGAGCTGTGATAGTGAGCAACCTGGTAATATTGCTTTAATTGTACTTCGCTGATAAGTCCTAGATTCAGTAGGCTAATAAAGGTTAAAATATCATGTGTAGGTTAACCTGTAAAGCTCAAATGGGGAAGGGGAGGGAATATCAATGTTGAGGCTCTCATTCTGTCCTTAGTCATTACATTGTGCCTGTGTTGTACAGTTTCATTAGATATTTAATGAGAGCAAAGGGGAATTACCAGATGAGCTGAAATACCCAGTCAAAACAGGGTGAATTAAGACGCATTTCCTTGCTTTGTATTGTAATTCTGAACTCTTAAATATAGTAACTTGCCCAGTTTATCTTCATAAACAGCAGCAACTGTGCTTCCATTCTGCAGTATTTACCAGTATTATTGAAGATTATTCTATGCAAAAATCCCCCTGAAAGCCTTGTAGCGTGTTTTTTTCACTTGTATTCCAAATATTAGCTCAACTTAAGAGGCTTAAACTTTTTTTAATCAACTTGGAAATCTCTAACTGTAGCTTTATAACTTTTGTGGTGTTTGGTTTTTTGTAAGCAAGCTCTTTCAAGATGACAATTGCAAAATATTATGGGTTTGTATAAGAGTATTTCATAACATCAGCAATTGAAATTTACAGTCAGTAAGATAATAGGGATTTAGTATATTATTTAACCTAGCAGCTGTAAATTAACAAACTTTTTCCCCCCTCTCTCTCACTTGAAGGATTAGAATACAGGCCATAAACAACTTTGGAGTTGGTCCTTTCAGTCATTCCATTAAAGCCAAAACAAAACCATTACCTCCTGACCCGCCTCATCTTGAATGTGTGGTCTTCAGCTACCAGAGCCTTAAACTGAAATGGGGTGAAGGTCCTAGTAGAGCTTTAATTACCAATCCTACACAGTTCAACTTGCAGATGGAGGATAAGTTTGGCAGGTGAGATCATTACTTTACAATTTGGAACAAAAAGCCAGCTAATGTTTCATAGCTTCATGTCCTGGATTTGTAGACCACTGTGATTTTTATCAAGTTTAGTGAGTATGAAATCAGGTAATATTATTAGAATATATGATAAAATTATTTCTTCACTTCTGTTAGTGGATATAGTTTACCGGATGACCAAACACAGAAGACTACTCAAGACTAACAGTGTTAAGCCCACTTGCTGTCTAAATTGCATTTCTGTGTTTCCTTGGAACTGTCGTGGGGGAATCAGATGTTCAGTTTCATTTTCCAGGAGAAAATGTGTGTCTGATTCACTGTATTACATGAGGAATTAATACATAGCACTTGCAGAACACCCTTTTATTCAAGAAAGTTGTGAACTGTTATATTGTAATAATGTAATACAGAAAACTGACAATACATTTATAGACAACGAGCAGTCTTATGGCACTTCAGAGACTAACAATTATATTAGACCATGAGCTTTTGTGGATAAAACCCACTTCATCAGATGAGTTGGAGTGGAAATTACAGAATCCAGAGTATAAATATCTGAAGTGGATATGCCATCAACGCACTACAAAGACAGTTTTCCCCACCTTTGATATTCGCATTTCCACATCAAATGCTATGAATGTGACACATCCAGCCTGACTTAATTAGCTTCATTAACACTGGTCCTACAATTAACAGGCAACTGCTTTTGCTGTTATACACACTGGATTCTGTAATATCCACTCCCAACTCATCTGATGAAGTAGGTTTTACCCACACAAGCTCATGATCTAATATGTTCATTAGTCTTTAAGGTGCCACAGGACTGCTCATTGTTTTTAAGGTTACAGGCTAACATGGCTACCTCTTTGAGATTTAATACATTTATAGGTTAATGTATTTTAAAAATACTGTTCTAAATGTTAAGATTTAGTGCAGTGGTCCCCAACGCGGTGCCCGTGGGCGCCATGGCGCCCGCCGGTGCATTCGTGTGCGCCCGCTGACAACCTGGGCCGGCCCCGCCCCCGGCGCACGGGAGGCGCCGGCCCCAGGTGCGCGACATGCACTGGGCGCGTGGCGCTCGAGCGGCCCCAGCCCCGGGGCACATGCGGGCGCTCAGGCACACGGTGCTCGAGCGGCGCCGGTGCCGGCCCCAGGCACGTGGCTCAGGCAGCAGCACCAGCCCCGGGCCCACGGCATAAGGTGCTCGGATGGCCCCAGCCTCGGCCCTAGGACACAAGCCGGTGCTGGGTGCAAGGGCATCCCAGTCCCCTGGCGTGCCCCCAGACACGCAGCCCCGCCCCCGGGCGCCCAGCGCGTGAGTGGCCCCACCTCCCGGGCACCCGGGAGCCTCTAAAGGTTGGGGACCACTGATTTAGTGTATGTAACCACAAATAGGATGAACAATTCCTTTTTGATCTAAGATTATAAAAGCATCTGAATCTCCTTTTTCTGATGTTCTCAGGGCCTCTAACTTAAAAATTGAGAGTGAAAAAGAGTGCATGACTTGGTGTATAACGAATCTCCTGTGTAGCATTCCAGTCTAGTGCAAATCTAGATTTAATGATAGAGCCCATAAAACAAAGGAAGGGGGAGGAAAAGAGCACACTTGCTCTTGCTGGTGCTAACTCCTTGGTGTTGTGAATGACTCTAATCTTTCACCATATATAAAAAATAAAATTTTCCTGCGGGACAACAGTGTGACATCATCTGCGTCCATATGCTGCCGCCGCCCACCTCTGTCCTCAGCAACTTGCTGTGTCCAGCCTCAGTGTCATCCTCTCCGGGCATTGTCTGCTCCAACTCTGGCTTCTGCCTCACGCCCCAGAGGGCTGTGCTCCTGGGGCTCGGTCCCCTCTGCCGTCCAGTTCTAATTCCCTTCCCCATCCCAGGCCACACCGGGTTCCCTCCACCATCTGAGTCCCCTCTTCCCCATTCTGCCAAAACCCAGC